ACTACAGCCTAATAGCCCAAAAGGGTCATTATTCCACATACCTGTGGGGTTCAGGAAGAAATAATTCCTAAGGAGGAGACTCCAGCCTAAGCGGAACCGCCGTCAGCCTTCAGGACCCAAAAGTAAGATGAGCTATAGCCCAAACTCCTTACAGGGGGCTATATAGGGGATTGTATAGGGGACTATTCTAGGGTTGTGGAGAGGGATACTAGGAGTTTAGACTATAGCTCATATAGGGGCCTAAGTAATTACCAATATTGGTAGGGTTTAGGGTTTAGGGATAATTACCAATATTTTGGTTTCATATTCCTTAGGGTTTCGGGTTTAGGGCTTAGAGATAATTACCAATATTATGGTTCCATATTCCTCAGGGTTTAGGGTTTAGGGAAAAAATACCAATATTATGGTTCCATAGTCCTTATATGATTATGGTCTTTGTTACCTCAAATGGACCTTAAGATGATATTGGTAATCATTTAGGCCCCTGTAGTATTCACACGAAAGTAGAACATTGGCTGAACCTCAGAGTCTCTGAGCCATGAAACACAGACCGTTCCTGAAAGTAGCATCCATCTGTACACCACGAGACGGTCTTTGCATACCCTACCCTAAGAGTCCAAGGACCCAAATAATGGGGTCGTAGGGCCCAGATACCATTAATAGTATAGTATTTGGACCCTAAAGCCCTATTTTATGAGTCCTTGGACCCTCAGGCTATACCCTAAACCCTGAACCCTAAACTCCGACATAATCCGCTGCAAGCCCATCCAATTACTGTCTCTCTTGTCTGTATACACACGCCATAGAATCCCTTCTTTCCCCTATGCCCTCCGCATACATACCCTGTAGAAGCCCAGGTACCAAGATAGCAAGCCGTTAGCTCTTCAGTTCCAAGTGTTTAGGGTTTAGGGTCTAGCATTTAGGGTTTAGGAGCTTCATACAGACACAACTGAGCTGCAGTCTAACTCCTAGAAAAGGGTTATATAGGGGATTACATAGGGGGTATATTATAGGGGATACCCTAAACCCTAAACCCTATATTATACGGGATCTTAAGGGGGATACTAGCAGTTTAGACCAAGGTTGGGCTCCTTGCTCCAAAGCATCCCTGCCCGTGTCTCCGGCACCCGTTGCGCTGCAGGAATGGGGCCGGGGGGTGAACATTTTCCTACTAGAGGGGACATATGAACCAAAATCTAAATTCCTTCAAGCGGGGTTCTATGACAGATTATATAAGGGACTACTATAGGGGTTATTAAGGGTGGTGCTAGGAGTTTAGACTACAACTCATATGCTTTATAAGCGAGTATGGAACCTTGTATGGGTGTTAGGGGCAACAGCCCTGGTGCTCTAGGATCCAGTTTGGGATTTCCAGGCTGTTGGGGTGAAGGTATAGTCCCTGAAGCAGAGAGAATATGTGATATATGGGGGAGGTTATTATGATTTCGGAGAAGTCCATATTCTATCTACTTAGAGGGGCCTACAAGGCCTGTAGGTTCATGTCCGACGGCGTGGGCTTTTGTTCCTGCTACTGCAGCCACTGCTTCCTCTTAGTAGTTCTTAGTGGGGAAAAAGGGCATGTATTCTATAGGGATTCCTACACCCTAAACCCTAAAGGTCCCAAAACGTCCCATGGGCTCCTAAGGATTCTGCAAAACTCACAGAACGTTAAGGGCAGAAGCCATACGTGCAGGCCTAGCTAGACTCATCAATGTACACCTAACCTAAAAGCGGTTTTAATAGGTTTAGGGTTTAGGGTTTAGGTTATGGTTTGGCCCCCATGTTGCTGTTGGGGAGCTTAACTTAAGACACCGCAAAAGGTGTAGATAATCAGTAGCTGGGTTTCCCCATGATGGTTATGTACTTGGACCCCCTTACATCCCATACATAACCCCTATATAACCTCAGCTTCTATTTTAGGTTCCATTGCCTTTTCCATGTCATGCTCCAGTATTTTTCCTTGCAGTTCCCTGTATGCCCCTCTAAACCCTTATATTTCCCCTTCATAGTCCTACCTAGACTATTTACTTCTAGAAATTCCTATCCCTTAATCCCTTAGAGTCCAAGTACCTAGTAATTATATACTTCGCCAACACCTGTACTATAATGTTGGACCTCCTTTATTGAATCGGTCCCCTATAGTGAGTTTTGGGGCCCGCCCATTCAGGATCAGGGCAATGACTACAAGGCCCCCTATAATGAGTTTTGATTTTGGGGACCTAAAAATATAGGAAGGATTCTGGACAATCCCTTCTAAATCAATCCACAAGGACCTCAGAACCGTGGGAGCTCGGGGTGAGTTTTGATTTTGGGGACCTAAAAATATAGGAAGGATTCTCAGCAATCCCTCCTAAATCAATCCACAGGGACCTCAGAACCGTGGGAGCTCAGGGGGCCGTACTGAGGATCCCTATAATTTCTCTTTTTCGGAGGACCCTAATTTTAGGGGGAGGATTAAAGAGGGTCCAACATTAATTACTATTACCCAAATCCCAAGTACGTACATATATTGGGTACTTGGAACTTTAGGGAATCCTCAAGCCGTGTTTTTGATTCCCGGTTTGGCAAGGCACCTATTGTGGTCTCAGCGCCCATGCCATTGCGAGTTCCGCGCTCAGACTCGGGAACATGGGTACCTAAACTCGGGAACGTGGGTATGTCTCCTTAGGCCCTAAATCAAACTCGAGGTCTGGGCCTAGGGTGGTTGGAGTTCGGGGCCGCAGGCTTGCGGTTCATGTGTTAGGGCTTGGGTAGTCTAAGTTCGGATGGTAAAGCTGCCGCAAATCCTGTGTCGCAGTTCTACCCAGCAGTGTGGTAGCAAGGACAGCGGAACTCAGTAAGCCGAGGGGCGACGCTTTCTGATCCCTGGGGTTGAGGGTTTAGGGTTTAGGGTTTCCTGCCTTTTCTCGAATATGTCTACAGGGATGTAGGACACGACAGTACCCTTTCAAACGCATCCATCCAAGGTTCCATGTTTTGTATCCTGAGGTCCCCGACCAAAAGGCTGCAGGTAGAAAGGATATCCTCTCGTTAGTAACCGGGGCAAGCGGTAATCCTCCCACCTCAGTATACACCTTCATCCTTCATGCATCCATATGTACATATGCACGTTAGAGGAATGTGCGTATAGATAAATAAATGAACATCCATCTGCATAGTATATGTACATGCTTTACAGTCATGTTATCCGGCGAGGTGAGGGGGCCCATTCCAAGTGCCGATTAGTTTGTTACACCTAAACCCTAGCCCTAAACCCGAAACCCTAAACCTAGGGTGGACATCCCCTTTGCAGATGGTACGCCTTCCCAGGGAGGGCCAGGAAGACCCATAGTAGTAACTAGCCCTAAGGGTCCAAGGACCCAAATAATAGGGATTTAGGGCCCAAATACCTTTAATAGTATAGTACTTTGGCGTGAAACCCTATTATTTGAGTCCTTGGACCCTAGGGTAGGTAAGGTTTAGGGTTAAGAATGGGGATACCTGCGGCCATCATATGGATTATAACTGGGTTGCTGTTCGGGAACTTAAGCTAAGTTACCATAAGGTGGAAGTCCCATTATTCACTATATTGCCATTTTCTGGTAACTTAAGTTAAGTTCCTCAACACCAACCCGCGTACGGGTAGTCAGATCTGCGGGGTTTACGCTGTTGGTCTTTAAAGTTTATTGTGTTAAGTAATCCCCTCCCACTAAGATTACCCCCCTAATGTTAACTACTCCCATCGTGTAGTGTATTTTAATATGGTCGGGGTATTTAAGATTAGGGAGGGGTGGGGAGGTTTGAGATTAAGTGGGAGAGAGTAACTGATTTGGCAGATCGGAAGTCTATGTTCATCTGATCCTCTTGCAAACGCCGCGAAACAGAGCGGTCCCATTACGAGGGCTGCAAGAAGGACTTAGGGTTTACGGTTTAGGACAGCGATTTCGCCATTTTCTTGGCCCACTGTGAGACGTATTATGAGGCTGTGTCCTATGAGCTCGAGCCTTGTGCCTGGATAATTTTCTTCAAGTCTAGGGTTTTTTTGGCCCAATAGTCACTCTGCCTCTAAACTTGTCTTTGACCCCAATTTTGCCCAACATACTCTTTAAGTCTAGAGAGTTTCATTAATGGGGAGCATGGATTAGGTGGACACCCCACCCAGTAATAGTGACTGTGAGGGATTATCTGGATTATTTCAACGTCCTCTTATATTCCTATCATGCCACTATTGCAGGGTGGGGGGTCCACGTAATGAATCCCGATCGCTAAAGACCAAAGCATAAGCCCGCAAATACAGAATCCCTTGTGCCCAAACACCAGCATCCAAGACCCATGGACCCCAAACCCAAAACCGTCAAACGCCACCAAACCCCCAACACCCTACATGCCCTAACCTAAGAGCGCAAATACTTCTGACAGTGTTTTGGGGGTTATGCCATGCTTCAGCAAATCATATAAGGGGAACTTCTGAGGATAATTTTCCTTTCAAGCTGAAACCCCAAATCCCCCAGCAATGTAGACCCCCCGACCCTAAACCCCAAGCCCCACACCTAGACCCTTACCCTTAATCCCCCAAACCAAATGGAAACCCAAAGACTTAAACCTCAAGCCCTCGATCCTAGACCTAAACCCTGAACACCACATCCTCAATCCCAGAGCTAATCCCTAATGCCTCAGCCCGAAGCCTTAAAGCCTAAACCCCAATCCGAACCGCAAGACCATTTAACCCTAAAACCCTAAATCCTAAACCCTGAAACCCTCAAGCCCCGAAATCCTCCACTTACCCAAGCCCTGAATGCTAAAACAGCCCCGAACCCCATGGGACCATTGAGGGTGCACCCAGAGATCTCTACTATCACCCCAGAAAATACATATCTGAATATTTCGTGTAGCTTACACTGGAAAATATAAGAGACGACTGTATTACCAAAGGGACCCCTATTCCAGCTTTAATCGTCCCTTGGTAAGCCTATTCTCGACCGTAGCTCATACAAGCTGAAATACCACTACGTATTGCAAAACTCAGTCATTGGGCTAATGTCCTCCTAAACCCTAAACATTTAATGGTCCCTTCGCTTCGTAGTCCTCACTTACCCTGATATTGACAGAAGCTCAAGTGAGGCTCCGGTTCTTGGCTTCGAGCCTGTTACGCAGGGCTTTGTGCAGAGGTTGGTGCTAGCAATCCTCTTGTTACCAGATCCTTAAGGGATGGATTAGTGTTTAGGGCTTAGGGTTTAGGGTTTAGGGTCTAGGATACCCAGTAATCTCCAACATTCTCTGATCCTCCCTGTTACTGCCGACGGTGCCCTACTGTTTCCCTGTACCTACCCTCACTGGACCCAAGCCCCCGTGAGGACTTGGTAATTTGAGGAGGCTTTTGAATAGGGGTTAAGGGTGTAGGGCTGAGTGTTTGTAGCAGTGTAAGTAGGGGTGCAAGATTAGGGGTGTGGGTTTCGGGTTTGTGGTTGTTTAACCAGGGTATCTTGGTTGGGGGTGTGGCGTTGTGGGGCCCTTTTAAACCCTAAACCCTAAACCTTAAACCTTCAACCCTGAACCTTAAACCCTAAACCCTAAACCTTCAACCCTAAAACTTAAACCCTAAACCCCAAACCCTCAAGGGTTTGTAGTGCTCAAGACAGCGGCTTTGGCTTTATGATCTGAAAGGAGTGGAGGGTCTAGGCCTGGTAGTATTTTTGGGGTTTTCGGGTACCCATTGGGGTAATATTAGGGTATATAGTGCTTGTATGGGGATAATGGAAAAGAAAATGAAGACGACGATAATGGCAAATATATATATATATATATGGGGTATTTTGTTCAGGGGTTTGGTGTTTGGGGTGGTGGCTGTGGACTGGTACCAGGGTTGAGGGATTAAGGATTAGGGGGTAGGATTTGGGGTAGGATTCTAGAGTTTAGGGATCAGGGACTAGGGTGTGGGGTGTGGGGAGTTTGGGGTTAGGGCCGATCCTGGGGTCTTCTATGTATACAGAGTGAACTGCCCCCAAGGTCCTTTGTATCCCACGTTGTTCTTCACAAGCAGCTGTGTAGCCCTTGGGCGCACCACCTCGAAGCCTCGAAAGCCTAAGACTTCGAACTTAATTTGGGCGGCTGTCAAGTAACGTCAACTAATGCAAGGTAATCTTACTGGGGGTTAGCAGGGAATCAGAGGTTATATAGGGATAAGTTAGTTTCCCAACTAACCATCAGTAAATAATCTAAGCACTGGAACCCCTAAACCCTAAACTCCAACCCTGCAATCCCTGCACGCAGGCCTCCCGTGCCCATGCGCACCACCCTTCCGGCACCTGCCCCGAAGCAGTGGGAGCCGCCGGCGCAGGCCGAGCTCCCGTAAGTTTGGGGGGTTCTGGTTTGGGGGGTCATGGGGACTTAGTAAGTGGGTTAATAATGGTCACAATTGGGGTTATTATAACGCCTATAGGGTTTATTAACCTACTTACCAAGTCCCCATGACTCTCCAAGTGATTTGGGGTTCAAGGATATGCCCCGCTACTCGTCGTCGGCATCGAGTAAAGGTGGAAAGTGATACAAAAAACATAACCAGCATGGCTGAAAAGTTGGTACACCTTTTTCAATAAGAGATTTGCTTGGAAAGGGGTAAGGTTAGCCCTCCCTTAAACGGACATGGCGAAAAGGGGGCAAAGGACATGACGAGGGTAGAGATCGCTCACTCAATGCGATATTCTTTCAAGAGGCCAATGACCAATTTGCAAGCCTGCACAGGGCACACGGGTTGAGTAAACTTACCAGGGAGTGGAGACGTTGGGCGCCGCCCTGAATCCCTTGCCAGCGTTGATGCACTTGGTTGAGAACACTCATGTAGGGCCTTCCGTCGTTTCACCTGTTAATCTTCCATCTTCAGTTGAGTCTGACCCTGGATGGCTGGCCAAAGTGGCAAGGCACCAATGCGTTACCTGAAAAACAAGAAGAAGGAAGATACGGAAACCACTAGGGTATTTGGAATGAAGGAAAGGAAAAGAAAATGAAAACTATTATCCCAAAGTGTCTTGGTAGCTGTATAGTATATACTTGGGCCTAAACTAGTCGTTTGAGAACCTCTATGGGCCGTACGTATATACGATATGGCTACATAGACCCTTTGGGTGTGTTATCTTGGGTTACTCTCAGGATCCATTCTGAACAACCAGAAAGTGTAGGATAGCCAGGCTTAACGACAGACACCCACGTCCCCCTGAGAAGTGTTTTGCTCCTTCCCATTGGATTCTGTTTTGGTTTTCTGGTGTGCATGGCTGTCGTTTTGGAAAATGGCTCCAGGATGTCAAAGGTGGAGCCTCCAGAGCCGATCAGGGTTTGAGGCCACAAGGCCAAAGATTTTTTGGCTGCAAATTCGGGGAAAGTAGCAAGCTTCTAGCGTTGATTTGGGCATTGGGAGAGCGGCTGGATATTCTTGAAGCATTAATGGTTTGGCAATTTCTCCATTCGGAACCACACAAAATACCACCTAACCTTTCATGTTATGTGAGAGCGGCAACATGCGCGGGTCTTGCGCACTAAGCTCTTGCGCTCCAACTCCTCCCCCGATCAACACCACCCCCGCCACCACCGCCGCCACCACCGCCACCGCCGCCGCCATGCCAAAATCAACTGCAAGGTCGGGCGTCACACGTTCAATGGAGCCCATGCCGGCCATGTTTTTGCCCTCCCCGGGCCTGGTGCGCCGCGAGCAACTCAGGCGAGTGCAGGGGTTCCTGGGACGGCGTTTCAGCATGATATAGGGGTTTTATGGGGGTTATGTGGGGGCTGGGTCTATATAGGGGTTATTTAGGGGCTTCATGAAGGGTCAATGGGGAAATTAAATGGAAACTGCTATACTATGATTTAAAGGCTAAGTTTAAGCATGATTTCGAGCCATCATGGTTGTAACATTAACGAAATAGCACAAGCAAATGATCCAATGTATTCTTAGTCTTTGTGAGAACTTTTTTAGCAGTGCTGACAGTAACTGCTGCAGCTGCAGTAGCTGATAGCATTCTTGTAGGTTCCGACTGAGGTACTTTGGCAAACGTTCCTGACTGATGTTGCTTGTTGAAATGTTCTTAGAGGTTTATACCAAAAGCATCGTTGAGCCTAGCTACAGTATTTGTTTCCCAGGCCTACCTCCCTGAACCTATAATGCGAGAGTTCTCCTCCGAAATTTCCGTATTCAACGTTCTCTCAGAGTGATGTTGATCAGTACCCGAAAGCCTAAAACTGTTTTCTTTAAATTCGTTCTTCCATGCTTTTCCACTCTAAGGTTAGAAGTCTGGGCCCCTAATATAGGCCCTTAGGCCTTTTAGGCGGGATTCTCGGAACGCTTAAGGGTACATATAGTGTATATACGGTAATTGGTAGTATATAAGGATCCCAGGGTTAAAGGCCCATACTAGGAGCCCATGATTTCAACCTTACACTCACAGTGACGTGCAGCAGTAATTTCCAACTATGTTTTCAATTTCTGTTTGACGTGCCTGAGGTTCAAGATTTTCGTAACCAATCTATATATATATATAGAGATACAGATATCTATCTATCTATCTATTTATCTATCTATCTATACCTCATAGCTTCAAGCCAAGGCCTTGTAGATATTTGCCTTTCGCTCAAATGCCCTTTGCATAAAACATGTCTCCATCTCCCCCAAGAAGACTAGAAGACTACGCGCAGAACCTCCAACTGCCCCTGCGAGGTCCATCAAATGTCACCTCCGCAACTCCATCGCTGAGATGCTGGCGACAGCAGTGGGTGAGAAAACGATGTGTTTGCGGTTTGCTCAACCAACTTATGCAAAGATCGTAGCGTAGAAGTTGTTGTGCCGCTGCCGCTACTGCTCCCTCCTATTTCTACTGCTATTGCCACTACCAGAACAGCAACAGCATCGTCTACTTCTACTTTGGGTCTGGTATTGCTACTGCTGCTGCTGCTGCTGCTGCTGCTGCTGCTGCTTTTGCTACTGCGACTGCCACTGCCGCTGCCACTGCTATTGCCCTTTCTTTTCTGCTGCTTTTGCTCGTGCTGTTGTCTCTTACCAGCAAGTCTAGGAAAAAGTCACCATTCAATACGGCAAAAGGTGCTCGTACTCAGGCGGTTGCAAATACCAGTATCAGTGTCATGTCAGGCACCTTAGCAAGATCCCCAACTCTTCGGCTGTGTGAAATTATAAACGGAACCGGGGCCAGTGAGAAGATACCATAATCAGAGGTTCATTGGCTAATATATAGGACATTGAAACTACTCTATAACCCTAAACCTATATGAACCATAGCCTAAACTC